GCAAAATGAAGAATTACTGCACAAATGCATAATGAAATCCAAATTACAATTTCAAGGGACTTCACAATGAGCATTTACGCATGAAGAACTTTTGGGGTACTGGGTACACCTAACATTTTGTTATGAATTTCAAAACCTCAAGAGCAGACATAAGTCCCGAGAATTTTAAAAGCAGCAAAGCAACTGAAAGAGGATAGCACAATAAAAAAAAAAAAAAAAAAAAACCTTTATAGATCGCTTTTATAGAAAATCTGGATACAGGCAAGAAACTATCTTATACGTTGCATGATGAAAAAAAATTACCGTAGACATCTACAATGGACTATATCCTATGCAGCAAAAGTGAACAAGAGCCAACACAATTGAACCAAGGAATGTAATGCGTAAGATTATCTTACTTTAGCAATTGCCTTCTGTTGACTAACTGCATATGGAACTATCAACAACTGATCAGGCAATAGTATAATGGTTGTTAGTTTCTTCTTCTTCTTCGAGATTTCACTGTCCAATATACTCTGTACTTTAGGCTCTCAAAAGGCGTTTTTCACATGTCAAGATCCTATAGTTTGCATGAGGACCTTCTGCTGTGTCTCGTAGTGTTACTCGCCAACCCATAGCCTTCCCAACCTCCTGAAGTTCACCCATGACCGTGAGAGAGTCGCGGATATATACTCGTCCGCCAGGCCTCAATATCCGATCCATTTCCAGCATGATGGTGGATATGTTGCATCTGATAAGGAAATCAAAGAAGATGACATCAAACTATAGGACTTACACCCTACAACGGGTATAACAACCTTTAACATATTACTTTCTATGTTGCGCATGTACCATTCATTCATCAGTTCCCAGTCCTTATATTACACTCTAAACTTAAATCTTCTAACTAATTAAACAGTATCTTCTCTGTTGCAAGTAAAGGCAAAGTAAAGATTACCTTTTTTGTTCGATGGAAAAGAGACCATTAGCATGCAACAAATCATATGTTCTTGGGTATGTATCAAATGGTTCGCACCTGGAAGACAATACATCTTTGTTATAAAGGCAGCATCAAAGGTAGTTACTCAAATGTCACTAGCATATGTACAGAACTACAGATTTAAAATTATCACTGCTATTGCACCCAAAAAATATCGCTTCACATTGTCTACTTTCAACATTTCAGCATTTGAAATGATGGTGGATGCAAATAAGACCATTAACAAAAATACTGCCAGCCAAGTGCCCTCCACCCCCTGGCAGGTATACAGCTCTTAAATTCTTACCAGTCATGCATAACTCCAAGAAGTCCACGGTCATATATAACAGGTAAAGTGTTTGGTCCACTCACTGGAACGACATTGAGAACCCAGCAATCAAACTTGTTTTCAATCAGTGCTGCAGCAAATCTGTTGGAAGAGAAATTAAAGCGGCATTCTCTTAAGCTTATTTCTCATCAGAGGAACTATGACTGATGAGGTGAAACGGGAGAATGTAAAGAGGCGAAGAATTACCCTCCAAAGCCAGCTCTCATGTCCAACACATTTCTAAGTTTGAATTTCTTCCAATGCATTGCGCGGACATAGCTTTCAATTATTTCAACCCAGTATTTCAATTCTGCGCTGAAAAGCTCTTTTCTAGATATATAGGCATCAAGTTTTAAACTTTGCAGCCTATCTGGGGGATTTTGAAGGCGTGCAGGCCAATCGGTTACATTTGTACCACCTCCATCCTCGGGCAATCGTGTAATACAAGCTTTCAAATCAACATACCTAAAAATGAACATGAAACAGAAATCTCAATGACCTAAACTATAGAACTTTACAAACAATATGTACGTCACTTAATGATATTGAAACAGAAATCTTATTGCAATAAAACATGACGTGTAATGCAAATGAATTATGCTAATTATCAGAAATCAACTTAAGCTAGTGAGCTTGGCGGAGAAGTATACCAGACATTGTCCGGATCATCATCTGGATCACATAATGGTGGTTTGCTCCCTTCCTCCCGGTTTAAATAGCAGCTGTTGTTTAAGGGTTTCTGCCATATTGCGATATAACCCTCCTTCTTTACAAGTTTCCAGCAAAGACTATTCGTAAGATTAACCATCTCTGGGTATTCAAAAAAAAAAAAAAATCAAATGTCAAAATTCAATTTGGCAATTTCTCAGAGCACTTTCCCCAAGTATCAATAACTCTAGCTTTCCCACTGCAAGGAGTCGAGTTTTAAACTTTCAAATGGCAATCATTTTAGTTATATTTTACTGTATATAACTATATATTTGATGCCAAATAAGGAGATAATTGCAAACTCAGGTTAGCAATTGTTGTAGAAGTGTACAAAAGCAAAGAGGCAGAATTAGAATAGGTGAAGCATATTGAAATGACTCCCCATAACTCCCAACAGAGAAGAATTTATCTTTTTTCTCTTTTTTTTTTGGTGTGTTTTCTTTTTCATAAAGAAAGAGCTGAACATGAGAAATGCAGATTCGGGCAGTTTACCTTCCCATTGCTCTTCTAAGATCGGCTCATGTTTATAAACAGGCTGTGCAGCCCAAACAAAATAGCCTCCTCCGCGAAGCAACCGGTTGACCTCAAGTAGCAAAATACCATCTTTTCATGAAAATGCAGCAAAGGAAGGGATTAGTTCATGACAAGAAAAAATTCCCCCCATCCTATGTTCATGGCCTTAAAATAAAAAAAGAAAATGAAAAAGGGAAATGAAGACATATAGAGCTGCGTAATATTCTAAAGCTGGCACATAATTTCAAATTTATAGGGTAATCAATTAAGTACATAGCAACTTCTGATATAAATTCTTTCTTATTTGAGGACCTCAGCACTATAAATGTTGTACTGTTGCTAGTAACAAAGCTAAGAGACTTCAGAATACTAGTCTCAGAAGGTGGAGACCAAAACTATCATTCTTCACACGAAAACCAATAAACTTGTATTGCACACACAAATGCAGGGAGTTGGCTGATCATTATATTATATATTAAATAAATAAAATATCCACTACCATGCACTTCTCGTCACAATTCTCCGCAAAATATAGAAGTATATAACTCATAGTCATTGCTAAAAGATTAGCATTAATCAGAAACGCATAACTTAGAAACATACCATCACGAGTCCAATTTATCCTGCACCTTGAACAATGAATCAACTCAAATGACTGACTCGGATATAATAATCGCTTTGTTGCAAAAGCAGACACCATGGCAGGTACACCACGCTCAAGTGCAAACTGAATCTGATTTTCATGAACATCTTTTGGGGCAACTGAGAGGGTGAGCACATTCCGTGATAGCAGATAAGCACCAAAGCTTGCCACGCCACAACCAACATCCAAAGCAACTCGTGTATGACGACCAAATGCAATTTCAGGGACCATCTAGAACACAGATCCCAAATAAAACATCAAGAATATTAAATATCAACTTCTTTCAAACCGCTTGCAGAAATTCAGAAACCTATTTATCACCTCTTCAATCTGATTCAAGTACTGATCTGCCCCGTGGATGAACTGAGTGCCACCTCCAGGAAACTTGAACTTATCCTTGTCTATTGTAATCCAATTCTGACCTCCTTTATCTTCAACTAGGCGTGCATGTGGAACATTGCTGAACCAAACCTGCATTGTAGCACAGAAGTAGAGTGTATCAAACATATGCCTTGAGGAATTGTTTTCTTTAGTAACAAATCCTCCCAACTATACAATTAACCATTTCTATCAGCCATCTGCCACTATACATTACTTAATACAGTAACAAAGAACTTGAAAACAATCATATATACCAACAATAAAGGCACTAGATGGGAGCAACTCCAGCCAAGTTAGTCAGACTATTAACTCCTTAACGACAAGGTTATAAGTTCAACTCCCGTGATTAGAGCCTAACAACTATAGACAACCTAGTCCTTGTGGTACTTTGCCAGCTAGGATCACAAGACGAGATTTACCAATTGCAGTTTTCCTCGTCACTCAAAATGAATAAATAAAAATAAAGGCACTAGATTTATTTTTTTCTGGTAGAAGTATAACACCTCATCGCGACTTCTGGGCCATGGAATTGGAGTTCGGTAACCTCTAGGAGCAGGAACCAAGCAATTCAAGCCCTTATCCTTTTCAGGGCAATGCCGCTCGAATTTCTCTCCTTTCTCGGTGGATTTCAATTGCTTGATCGCCTCCGCATTGTCCAAGCAAGGAATATACTCTCTGAAGCTATTGGAGCACAGCGCGAACTTCTTAACCCTAATACTCCTAGCTCCGCCACCTTCCTCCGCATCCGTCTCGTTATCTTGCCCCCAATTGTCCACCACGTCCGGATCAAACTCTCCCACCTCAAATTCCGACGCCATTACTCCATTCTCATCCACCACCCCCATCCTCTGTAACGCAGGAGGCGGCGGAGGCTGCGGAACTGCATCCCTCTGCTGCTGCTGTTGTTTCCCGTCGTCTTTGCGTTCCTGACCGTTGTCTAAAACGGTGTCGTTTATCATGGACGCTAAATCGAAAGTTTTATTGGCATTAGGGGAGAGCGAAACGGCCGCACCGACATCGGCGGCGGAAGGAGAAGAATAATGGCCTTGGCGGGAATCGAAGAAGACGAGCGGCTGCTGCTGGGCGTCGGACCAGTGCTTGCCGAAGTAGAAGAAAACGACGGCTAAGAATGTGAAGGCCGCGATTCTTATGAGCGTCGTGGATTTGAATAGATCCCCATTGCCCATCCCCGTCATCTCTCCTCAAATTCGAGTCCACATACACACTCAATCTCTCGCGAGCTGCTCTTGTGTAGATCTGGGTCTGGAAGAATTTGGATAAAGAAGACGCCTTTACTCCACAGAGTTTGTGAAGTGGCGTAGACGGTGCTCTGGAGCTTTATTACAGTTTTTAGAGGAGACGGGGGAATACTTTTTTAAGTTTTAACAGCGAGCTATGAATAGATGATTGGATTGAATATTAAAAGATGATTTAAGGTTGGATTGAGATTAGTAGAGAGACGATGGAAGTTGGGTTTTTATGCGTAGATGAACATGGAAATTTTTTAAATTTTTTCCCTTTATTTACCATGGAAATCCATGAGGCCATGAATCTAAAAATTAAACTTCTGAACCTGCATGGGCAGCTCAACTGTTTATAAAGTTGAAAGTTAGAAAGAATTTACATTATTTTAAATTCTTTGTCGAGCCGGGATGTGAGGACCTTATGGTTGGGGTTCAACCTTATGAAAAAAATTAAACTGGTAAGCATTAACAAAATTTAAATTTATGATCTCTTCAATTAAGAGTGTTAATAAGAATTAAACTCTTGTAATAAAAGACGAAATTGTCCACCCGAATACAATTTGTAAAAAGGTAAATCATAGTGACTCAATTAATTAAAATAATTAAATATTAAACTCGTAATATTTAAATACTGGAATCATGTTACACTAATTATGATATATTACACTAATTACGATCATAGAAAGTACTACTCCTGCTCCCAACGTTTTTATTGTGACTGACGTGATGAAGATAACTAATCATCAATTGTCATATTCATGGTTGAAAAAATCACTAGGCGTCAATTAATCGCAGTTTAGGCACCATGTATATTTTATTTTATTTTTAATTTTAAATTTTTTTAACATTTTTTAACTTTTAAGAGTTACTAATTATAAATTATTTAATATTTTAATGGTTAATACTAAAATATAAAATATTAACCTAAAAACATTTAAAATTTGAACAATTTAGGATTATTTTGCTCAAAATGTTATTGGTTTGAGTGAAATAGCATTTTTTTTAAAGGAACAATATCCAATTGGCCGACTAGGCAACCTAGTTGGTGCCTAGACAGCCTAGTAGGTGCCCATGAGGCCTAATCGGCACCTAGGCGGCCGCCTAGACCACTGATTACGATGATACGCTATGCACCGATTAATCGGTGTCTAGGTGAGATTTTTGCAACACTGACCACATCCGGAGTAAAAGTGATTGAGTAAAAATATGGAATACATGTAGAACTGATTGAATAAAAATATGAAGTGCATGTAGTAGAACTCAATTATGACCATCCCTTCTGCTCCTTTAATCATGTAATGTGCTAACTAGACTTGTAAAGGTTAGTAGACGGTTCGGATGAACTTCGCCATTTTTTCCCAACTAAAATATAAAAGGGTTATATCACGTTGAGATTTCAATTCGTTTTCGACGATTTCACTCACAAAGATATGGGGAAATTTGTAACTCCCATTTAGACTTTTGGACTGTTCATCTTTTTTAATCGAGACCTAGCTCAGCTCGTGTTATTCTAATAACCGGCAAGAAGCACTTTAATTTATGATCGCACAAAGTAACTAGGAATCATTACACCTAAGACCAACTTAAATTCACCAAACTAAGGTTCATCTCTTATAGTGATTGTTGACTTGTACAATAATATTAAGTAAACATTTTTTGTATCAAACTTGACCCTAACTTCATAGCATGCATTCTCATTCTTGTTGCAACTAATTAATTTACGTGTCCTATGCACTGAGAACGGCCTTCAGCCCCCAAATTTACTTACTCATAAAAATTTTTCGACTCCTCAACGATCTATAATGCTAATTACTAGCCCCTTATTACATCGATTCTCAAATCTTACTTCATAAATTCTTCTTTGATATGGTAAATATTAATAAATTACTTTGTTTTATGTGAGTTTTAAAATAAACATTTACATTAAAATTTTGTGTATAAAATAAACGTTAGGAGTAAAAACTTTGTAGAATCATTTAAACAAATAAATTACCCATACAAATAACGTCTAAAATGAAGTGTCACTGTCGTTTACCACCGCAATCTCCACTTGTTTTTCTTCAGCGGCCGACTCTGCCACCTCAACCTCTCCTCCACTCGCCGTATAAATATCTATTCATCTTCCGTCACCGGAATTCCGTGAGTGACGCTTCGGTTTCAACTCCAGTTGGAGTTCCGGCAATGAGATGACCGTGAATTACGACGAATCGTGCTCCAGGTCGATCAACGAGACGGTGAATGGGTCCCACCGTTTCACAATCCGGGGTTACTCCCTGGCCAAGGGCATGGGCCCCGGGAAGTATATCGCCAGCGATACCTTCAGCGTCGGCGGCTACGATTGGGCCGTTTACTTTTACCCCGACGGCAAGAACGCCGAGGATTCTTCCGTCTACGTCTCCGCCTTCATCGCGCTCGCTAGCGACGGCGCCGACGTGAGGGCTCTGTTCGAACTCACACTGTTGGATCAGTCCGGGAAAGGGAAACACAAAGTGCATTCCCATTTTGACCGCTCTCTCGAGGGCGGACCTTACAGTTTGAAATACAAAGGAAGCATGTGGTATGCCTACTTCTTCATGCTTTCTCCATGTGTAATTGTTGATTGTATTCCTGTGGGTCAAATTAGGGTTTTACAATGGAGTTTTTGCCCACAAAAGGCAAAATTTTACATTGGGTTCTTCCCTCAGGAAATTAGGTCTGATCACACATTGATCTTGTAGAAGAAAAATGGAGAAAAACCAATAGAGTTTGGGAAAGCTTAAGACTAAATGCCCCAGGCATACTGTATTTAGAAAGAATACCCTTTGACCTATTCCACTTATCACTCATAAGATTATCTAATTCCTTGTATTGCAGGGGCTACAAACGTTTTTTCAAGAGAACAAGCTTAGAAAGCTCTGACTATCTGAAGGATGATTGCCTTGCCATGGACTGTACTGTTGGAGTTGTCAGAACTCGTGTTGAAGGGCCAAAGAAATATAGAGTTTCTGTTCCTGCTTCTGACATGGGCCAAAATCTGAAATACTTGATGGATTCAGAAATTGGCTGTGATATAGTTTTCCAGGTTGGAAAAGAGACATTTAAGGCTCACAAGCTGGTCCTTGCTGCTCGTTCTCCTGTATTTAGAGCCCAATTTTTTGGCCTTATTGGAAATCCTAATACAGAGGAAGTAGAAATTCAGGATATTGAACCGTCTATATTTAAGGTGATCATGTTTTTCTTAGTATATTATGTATCTTCTCCTCTATTTTTAATAGTGTCATTCTACTATCCATTTGGGTTTTCTTTGCATGATGGTCATCAGGAATCAAATATTTAGGTATACTTTTATCTATTTGCAGGCAATGCTTCAGTTTGTCTACTCTGATCAGCTTCCTGATTTACTTGAAATTACTTGCTCAACTTGGACATCAACAATCATGTTGCAGCATCTGTTGGCTGCAGCTGACCAATTTGGTTTAGATAGGTTGAAACAATTATGCGAGGCAAAATTGTGTGAGGGAGTAACTGCAGATACAGTGGCAACAACTCTTTCATTGGCTGACCAGCACGGATGTTCACAACTCAAGGCCATCTGTTTGAAATTTGCAGCTACAAACTTGGGAGGTGGGTGAAATCTGTTGATGTGAGCAGTCCAATGTTTCAGGTTATGTAATTTTTATTTTATGTTTTTTTAAATCTGTTTCTTCGCTGACATTAAATTTAGTACTTGTATGACATTTGCAATTAAAAAAAAAAATTGTTCTTAAGAACTCATAAATGCAGTTGAGATGACTGTGATCCAATTTAACCAAAAACAGGATCATTTTAACTACCAATTTGAATGGGCTAAACCCTGATAATTGGGTTAGACCTTACATTGATTACTCTGTAATTGCACAACTTCATTTGATAAACAGCTTGGAGTCTAGCTATTGAGACATTAACCGATCACATATGGTAATCTGGTATTGTCATATATGCACTATGAATCCTATGATGTCAGTATGATAGTCAGTTGGTGTATTGTGTTGATAAAGATTTGAGGTAACGCAGGAAAAGACTTCTGTAATTTGCTTGCTTGTTAATGTTTAAAAAAGGGCATCAGATTTTGGAGTTTCTTAATTAAATCGGATGGGCAACCACTATGTAACTCGAATCTAAAACTCTACTTGTTTGTGGTGGCATTATGCTTGCTCTATTATCCATTTGATATCTGCATTTATATTGGAAGGTATGATAGCTGAGCCCGTGCTATTGGGTTTATGTCCCCATGGTTTATAAATGGCTCTTTCTTGGTTTAAAGGGGGGTTATTTCTTTCGAGAAAAATACTCTGGGTTGTACCTTAGGTGCAGAATGGACTGCTGTCACTTAGACTATGAATTACATGGCGTACTTCTCCAGGTACTAATTATTAGATCACAAAAGGCTTTTCATCCTGTAGTGCTTTAAGTGATAAACCGAAAACAACCGAATAAAATAAATAAATTTTAAAATCAATTGCATGCATTTGGAGTCCGGTTGCTTGTCATTGGTTTAGGTTCTCATTTACTTTTTCATTCATCTCACGTTCCATGTATTAAATCTTGAATTCTTGATCGACAGTTGTTATGCAATCAGAAGGGTTCAGGCATTTGGAGGAGAGCCGCTCCTCACTCTTATCTGAACTGTTGGAAACCGTTGCATCAGTTGATGAAAAGGCGGTTCTGATATCTAGTAAGAAGAGGAATAGCGGTAGTGTATTTGGAATAGATCTAATAGCCAATGGTGATGCAGCGGAATCTGTTAGTCGTAATTTTAGGCACTTGCGAAGGCGGACGTGATTGCCCGTTATGTTTCAGTGAAATCTGGCTCTTACAAGCTGCACATAATGTCATTTTCCTGTTTATTTGTATGGCAAGATGAAAGCTTTAATAGTGATTGTATGGTTGTCAAGTTATGCTATAATCTAGGCTAGGCTTCAAGATCATGTTTGTCAATGTATATTTATATGCAGTCTCTCATGCAATTGTTTCTGATAGAATCACTTTAATTAGTTAAAAAAACATGTTACTATTACATGGAAATATGATTTTAGAATTGTGTTATATACTCATTGATGTTTCAGGTTTCTAGCATTGTTAACAATGCTTTGATTTATAAAAAGTCAACAACCGTTGTGCGAATGTGAGCTCTGAATGAAACTCACTTTTTGACCTTAGTTAATAAACGATTACAATAAGGTAAACCTGTTTAAATTTTTAACAAATGCTGTTATGTTTTAGACATATATAATAATGTTACTAATATTTTGCTTAGGAGAACTTGTCATAATTTGAAAAAATCTTATAGAGCCACTAAGTTCAACAAAAAATGAATGTCTATACTCTATACTTGGTATAACCATGTAAGTTGTACTAATTTTTAAATTATATTCGGTATGAATAAGTTAAGTCAAAATTTTTTCAAGAGCATCTCCCATTGTTTGGTTAAAAAAATTATGACAATTTTTTTTAAAAGAAAAATCAATGTAAAATGTCATAGTGGCCGCCAAGTGCGCCCCAATGGGTGCATGGAGAACACATGCACTATGTATTTGCAAGAGAAAAAGATCCACCAGTTTTTCCCTTAAAAAAACCCCAACAAAATTTACAAATGTGGATGCCCTAACTTCATGTCCTAATAGTTGCTTAAAGTTATTAAAGTTACTATATTATTGGCATAATGTCAAATATGAATTACTCTAAATCAATTGAAATGTAGAATAATAGCAATAATGAAAAATTTATAAGGCATAAAATCTTTAGCTGGGGTCATGAATACAACTTATCCACAAGCCCAGAAAAGTACAAACAACATAAACTACTTGAAGAAAATTAACACAGCAAATTCTGTCCTTTGCAAGAACCACCTAGGATGGTAACTATGAGCAAAACTTCAAGCACTGGAGATTTTCCTGGAGAAATTGCCCTAGTTTGCTCTAGGAGTGGCCCACTCAACTCGAAGAATAAGATTATCATACCCATAACCATTGAGTTTGTTGATTGCCCTCTGAGCATCTTCTTTGTTTACAAAATTGACAAATCCAAAACCTCTGCTCACTCCAGTCTTCTGATCTATAGCAACATAGACTCGAGTCACAGCACCAAAAGGTCTGAAAAGCTCCATCAAGTCAGGTTCTCGGGTGTCCTCCGATAGGTTGGTCACACGGACCGAGTTCTCATCATTCCTGCGTCTCATGTCTGTTCCAGCTGGTCTCTCTGCACCCGACCTCATGCTTGGTGGAACGTAAGCTCCTTTAGTTGCACCAGGAGGCAAGCTAGCATCAGACATTGGCGGTTTGTCAACAAAGGTGTCAGTCTGTACAGCAAGATCCTTGTAAGGGCACTTAGATGTCCAGTGATCGCCTTTCTTGCCACAAGTTCTACAAACCATCAAAACAGCACCCGGTTTATTAAGAGCAGCCAGTGCATCCGCAGTCTTGGCCTCTTCAGCTTTGGAAC